GCTATGTAGAGTTTCTATAAGTTTAAAACCAAAAGTAGGAATATCGTAAATGAAATATTATTATTATTATGGTAAAAATTTGGCCCAGTGTTAGATAATCAGTAGCTGTTCTGGAAAGTAAGTGAATAATTCTAATTAAACTAATTTTATCAATTATCAAACATTGTTTTTTTTATTATTTGTTGAGCCAATTGTTACATATTTCAACTAAGTTTTGTTAGAAAATCTAGATACTCCCATTGTAGACATGGTTGAACCCATGATTGACATGATTAAAAATAAAAATCCTTTTAGTGCCTACAGGACAAAGAGTAAAAAAAGTATGGCCGGACATAACCATCGATCCATTGTTAATGATTGCACGAAACCATCAATTCATTGACCATCAGTAGTTTTGAAACCACTGCTCAACATTACACAGAGTTGACAAAACACAATGTATGTGCCATACATGAGGACAGATTGTGTATGCACATGACACCCATAGACATCTTCCAATTTGTACTAAAAATAGTCAAATATATAAAAGTATTTGACTATTTTTAGTACAAATTTGGAATAGTTTTGGGTAGAAATGGACAAATTGGGATATACTGGAGACAAATTTTCTAATCAGGACTTATGGCAACTCAACTACTATGTCTTCCTGTGAAGATGAAACTTTGTAGCTGTATAAGAAAAAATGCTGCTATAAATATTATGCTGATGAGAGAAAAACAATATAAAAAATAGTAGCATTTTTACAAATGTGTCAACATCTCTTGGATAACTATTACACAATTCAAAGTATTTTCCAATGTAATTTGTTGTATGTTATCATCACTTGTCTGTTTTTACATTGTGAAATTGAAAAACAAAGTTTTACAGAAAAGTAAAGATAATGATCATTATAATTTTCTAAGTTGAATATATTTAATAACTTTTCTTTGTAATCTTCATTTTTTGATTTATGAACACACACAAGAATTACAATTTGATAATTTTTTCAATCTTATATATAAAATTACTAATTGACTATAAGGGCTTTTAAATTTAAAAATATTTGAATGCTTTTTGAGCATAATTCAGTTTATCTTCAGATACATAAAAACTCAATGAAATATATGAATATTTTCTGAATTTCTAGTAAATGATCACAACTTTCACATGACTTAAAAAAGAACAATATTTTCGTATTTTCTCTATACATAATTTATAATGTTCTTCTTCATTATACACTACACAGTTTCAAAACCAAGATGTGAAGATTTTATATATGAGTAACGATATGGGTTTGAAGAAGAAAGTTATAATTTTTTCAATTTTGTCACACTGATATTTTTCAGTTTCTTAGAAAATATATATATTTATACATTTTCTATCAATTATATATATATCTCACAATTAAAAATTATTCACATGTTCTGTTGACTGTTGGCATACTACTATTATAATATTTTGACATAGCAATTCTGTTTGGTGCATTTTGAAATACCAAATGCCAACATTTTATTTTATCTTTTGAAAAGGAAATAATAAATAAATGTTTCTGAACTATCACTGTCATCATTTTGATCTATAATTTCATCAATTTTCTCATCATTGTCAGCTATATTTCCATCATTATAACTACAGTTGTTATCGTCTAGTTAGAAAAATTTTGGTATTACCATTTGTCTAGATAAGTATAAATATGTTTTTAAGGAGACATAGAATTTTTTAAAAACATTTGTAATAATAAATTTTAAAAATTATGTATGTATTCATTTACTAATAAATAAATTAAAATATGCATGCAATTCTAACAGAGAAATTGCCACTCAGACTAATATGAAATACAACTGGTCTAACAAGATTATTCTGATATGGAGAAAAAAGTTATTTTTTTATAAAGGCACAAGACAAATATAAATAAATAATAAAATTTTAGATATGTAAGTGTAATTATTAAAGTATTCAGTGGAAAATGTATATATACTTTTAAAAACAAATAAACCTATGCACGTACTGTATATGTAGTGTATGTACTAGTATATACACATGTAATGTAATATATATATATTAAAAAACAAATAAAATAGGAAATTTTGAGTTTTCATCTTTTATTGTATAATGTTGTACTTTTATTTAAGTAATATATAAGAAGCTTTTTTTCTTTTATAAAATATTTATATACTGAAAGTTTGAGATTTAATTAATAATTGTAATATATTATTATCATCATAAAAATATTTAAAAAACATTTTGCTATAAAATGTTGAAATATCAGTGAAAAGAGGACAGGAAATAAATTATCATAAACAATATAACTTAATGTAGATTTCCAAGGTTTTTTAGATTCTATGAATCTATATTGTATTATAAACATCAAAAAACTATTGATGATATGAAAAATACTCAATAATTTAAACACGTCGTTTGCTACTACTAACATATTTTTTGAACTTATTTAAAATAATCTATATTTAAACGTTATACATTCAGTCTTGAAACATTACAATAGTCTTTATATTTTTTTTCATTTTAAAGAAAATATATTTGTTTATTATACTTAGTGTGCATGTGTGTATTGTAAATTCAAAAATGCATTTCTTTAAACAAGTGATGAAAAATATATGTTACAAGTGTTAAATCGTTTTGGAAATTCTGGCTTAAAACATCTAATTCTTGTTTTTAATTAGCATAATTTCTTTTCATTTATCAAGTTCAGAAAATCTAATGGATAAAGAAAAGAATTTAATATTAATAAATTTAATTCAAAATATACAATGCAGAAGTTAAGTTTGTAAATAGCTATTTTTATTAAGTAATTGAATTTAAATTATAAATAAAACAAATTTTCGTGTTAAAAAGAAGAGAAGAATAAACATTTCATTTTCCATTAATTCTATAATCGTAATCTAAAAACATCAAAATAACAAATACTTTAGTATTCTTGTTTAAACAAGGTCATGTTTAGAAAATCCTTAAACTGTGTAGTTTTTTTTTATACAAGAATAAATGTAATTTATTTTGTCCTTCTATTTCATCTAATGTAACTGTTAACAAAGTGATAAACATCAGTTAGTTAGAATGAAAAGAAACAGAACACAGTGTTGGATATCAAGAATAAAAACATGTTTATTTTATATAAATTCTTAAAAAATCAAATTATTGCTTTTACAAATTTTATTTTTTATCATTAAATTTTTATAATTATAATTAATTGTGACATATTTCATCCTTAAATAAATCAAAAATCTATTACAATATTTAAAGCATACTTTACTGACAAATATTGATTATACAAAAATAGAAATTTCAATGAAGCAAACTTAATGTACAGTACATTACTATTATAAAATCAATATAAAAATCTTTCTTGATCATCTATAACATGCCTCCTTGTTAATCAATCTTCTTATAGAATATATTATGTTCTTTTATAGTGAAAATTAAATATTTTATGTTTTCTTCTTTTTTAACATTGATTTCATAAAAACCACAAGATATTTATTTTGAAAACTAATTTCATCTGATTATGTTAATATCATCTGATTGTTAATATCATTATCCTATAATAATTACAGACATTATTAATTATCATGCAACTTACTTTTTATTATTTTAAAAAAATTGTAAATAATAAAAATATAAATATATATAGTTTATATAATAATGAATTAATTTATTGATCTTTATATATCACACTGACCTACCTTTCATTGACTATGGTAGTGTCCTCATACTCACCCAGAACCAGCTGCTAGATTTATTGATCTATGTTGCCTTAGTAACCGTAGCAGAAAATAACATTGCATGATTAAGCTAACATAATACTATTAATGTATATACAATGAAAATACCATAATATGTATTTAATTATTCCCTTTAAATCATAGAAAACGAGGAACAGTCAAACAATGCTTGGAGCATCCCTGGATTAAGGTGAGTCATTTGTTGTTTCTCTAACAAAATAATTCTAATTTAGACTTTGTCATAAAGCATTACTTGCTGTAGAAGTCATTTTGTATTTAAAAAATTACTATGCAATATTTCGACAATTATATTCAAGCTCTTTATATATAGTTAACCTATCAGAAGTCAGTTAATAAATTTAGCTTATTTCCATTTAATAACTAAAGGAAAATTAAGTATTATTATCTCAAATGAAATGTAATTTAAACACTTACTTCTAAATAAAAAGAAAAGAACTCCGGATAATGCTTGTTATATTTTCATGATCAGAATAAATTTAAAATGTAAATTAATATAAGAATCTATTTAAAACTTATTTTATATGTTACAACTTAGTTGAAAATCCAAATTTATAACATCTATCAGAATGTCAACCCCATTTAACAGGCTTGGAGTTCTTTGGACTCTAATTGGAAAGGGTAAAAGTGCAAATGACCTACTTCTGTTTTAATCAGGGTCATTATGTACTGTCTTAGTGAAATATAAAGTATTTTTTGTTTAAAATGTATTATTACTTTCATTTTATAGTCTTTTTATTGATATTGTTTCCTTTCAAAAACAAAAAAAAAAATCACTGGCTCAGAAGTTGTATATTTTATATGCAGTTATTAAAATTACAAATGTCAAAATGTCATATTAAATCTATTTTAATGGATTTAAAGAAATTTTATTGTAAGTCATGCTTTAACTAATAATTATATAACTTAAATATTTTAGTAATAAAACTGCTTTATTATTAAAATAATAAAATATCATTTGTGTACTTGTAGAATATTAACGACTAAAAATTATAAAAATTATATTATCATTAATACGTCATTATATAGATTAGTATTTTTTCTGTCTAAATAAATAATGGATAAATTAATGGATGTGGCAATATTAATTTCAGACAAAGGTATTATATGAACATTAATAATAGATTTTATTCATTCATTAGTAACAAAAGGATTATATTTGGATGGCTTATAAATAATTGAAACAAAGTTAATTTAGATAGAATAAATTTTACAATGGTTAATGATTATCATTGTTGTTTTTTTTTTTTTATAAATTATTTTTAGCCTCGAGATTTTACTGAAGTGGTTGTCCGAAAGAAGAATGAAATAAATATTGATAATTTTAAGACATATTTAGCTAGACAGAGATGGAAGGTACTTAATTTTATTCTTTAAATAAATTATTATGTTTTTTTAATGTTTAATGCTTGAATTGTTTTCAAGAAAAATTCAATGCATTGCATTTATTTTATCTGTCAATTTTAAAAATTTTAATTACTAATATTTACTAGAATTTATTGTAGATATATGGATAATAATTGAACATATTATTCAATTTTTTTTTTAGCATTCTTTGCTGGTTATAACTTTATGTAACAAATTGTCACGTAGTGCCAAGTTACGCAGTCAGAGCAGCGTTAACATGATAGAATATCATTCTGGCATCCGAGATATGCCATTCATAAACAAGGAGGTAATTATTACTATAAAACATAACAAATTTCATATCCCTTCTTATCCTTCTATAAGAATGTGAAATATCTTTTTTAATTATATTTTGTAACTTTTTAAAACCAAAAGTTTGAATGAATTTATTGAAAATCAGGACTTCTCATTTGTTTTAATTTCATTTTAATTAAGAAATTAAAAATCTTGGTCAAAAACTAAAAATCAAAGTTTAATTTTCTGACTATTATTTGCAAGAATTAATGATTATTCAGCTATATAAACACATTAGTACTGTTAAATATTTTTTTTATAAATTAAAATACTAAGTTATCCTTATTTTGTAGTGTTTCAAGTGGTAATGTGATAAGTGAGGCAACAAGGCAACAAGGAAACTCGGCTCTTTGCCGTGGCGTCCCGCGTGGCTATGTCCCTCGCTAAGGTGTTTTCCGCTAGGTTCATCTTTGTCCTTTGCAGATGTATCCTCCGAAAGTTATAGACCTTCATTGAGAGAACGTTTCCTGTTCGAGAAGTTTTCTTAGAATGCAACATCCGGTCAGCGATAGGAAACCACCTTCGTCGCCGGATTTCCTCTTCTTCTTTCGAAGACTGTGCGCCAAAATATACAAGGACTGCAACTCTTTGTGACAACAATACTTTTATTATAAGTTAATTGTGTGATAAACGGGTTGCGTTGTTTGTAAAGGAGGCATCGATCTCTGACTGAACCGCTCCCACATGTCGTTGACTGTTAATGTCGGCAGTCCATACGATAACAACATATCTCGTATAATTGTTATGTTTTTAAAGTACTTTTCCCGCAATATGAAGAAGCGAGAAGGAGGAGAAGGAGATCTTTGAATACAGCTGTCCCTTGATAATCCGACAGGTATGAGACCAAAGGGGTGTCGGATTACCAAAAGTGTCCGGATTACCGAAAGTGATTACATATTTGTCATTGTTTTACTAGCAGTAGCC